CAGGTAATGCGCGGCAGGTACTGCGTGTGATCAGTACCCGCTGAGAGTAGCCGTTGGCAGTGCGTCTGTGCATGCCAACGCCCAGCCATGCGCGCCAGCATGCTGTAACGCACGCCAGCACGCAACATCGCATGATGATGGCTACGGCAGCAGCCTGCTCGAGTAGCCAGTGTTGCGGGAAGGCACGGCGCACGCCCGCAGCGTTCAGTCGCATGTCGGCACGCACGTACGTGGCCAGCGCCGCACCGTAAGCCGTGCAGCAGCCACGCCACGCCCAGTGCATGCCCAACCGTGGTCAGGTGCACGCCGCACTCTTGGCCATGGCCATGGCAGGCAGGCCGCAACGGCCGTGCCTGCACCAGTTCCGCCAGCAGTCGCACCACGGCCATGGCAAGACCGTGGGCCGAGTCAGCCGCCAGCCGACCGGTCCGAGCAGACCTGCAGTTCGATCGGACCGGTTCAGACCGGTTAACACCGGTTTGACCCAAATAATGTTATTTTAATCCCAGTTCACATTTTAAGTGCTATTTCAGTTAAATTTCCAGGATAATTTCAGTTCGGTAAATTCATGTCCGATCAGTTCATGTCAGTTCAGTTCTGGTTATTCCGGTTAAGTCTAAATATCATGTCAGGTTCAGTAGAGCATCTTAACGAAATTAATCAGTTAAGTTAACAGTCTGAGCATAGTCAATAGTAATTGTTCATATTATTTTTCAGTTTGATCAGGCATCAGCACTACCGTTCAGTTTCAGCAGTTCAGGTGGGGACTCAGACTAAGTACTACATTGATTATAATTACGATACCATGCTTGAGGTATGTATTTCATGTGAGGTATCCGCTCGGAATGGTCGCCGGTCCATTCTGGGTTCTAGTGGTCCTAGTCTGCCCACTAGAGTGTGTACATGGTGTCCGGCATTAGTTCTTGCCGGCAGATGAGGTAACGGTCAGGGTCACGTTGGCGTGACGATTTCAGATTCATGTTCATGTTATTACCGGTTTCATGTTGAGGTTATGTATATACTGATATCATGATGTTGTTATTATTTTCAATGTTTACATTAGTATGAGTTTTCACGGAGCACAGTGTCATAGTGCTCATTTCCCACTTTTATCATGTTTTTCAGGTCAGGATGTCGGGCAAGGAGCGTGAGCAGACGAAGGGTTCAGGACTTTCATGTTTTGATTATATATATGTTATGATGATTTTCGTTTCCGTTGATATCAGTTTTTGATGAACTTATATTTTGATGGACTTTTGGAAAATTTTACGCTTTCAGTGACAGTATGATTTTATTAAAAATTAAAATAACGGTTTTCCAAATTAAGTCACGTTTTTAAGGTAGCACTCCGAATCAGTTTTCGCAAAGTAAAAGATTTATTTTTAAAAGACTTTGCGAAATTTTTGCACTCTGATTTTACGATAAGGCGGGGTGTTACAACCGACCTATATCCAGTCGTTAAATTTCATCTTTTATGGGTAAAAAATTTGTCCAACAATAAATTATCTTTTTTATTGTTTTGAAATTGTAGAAATGAAGTCGGGTATTTGTAGTCGATAATTATAAAATATTTATTGCTTTTTGTCAAAAAAAAAAAAAAATTGCAGCTTAAAACGTGTCAAACCTTATACATATATTTGGCCGACTCGAGTACAGATACACACGTTTGGTAGCATTTAAAAAAAAGTTAAAATTACTTGATATGAATCCCTTATAAAGGTAGGAGTCTCATAATATGATAAAACATCTAACAATCACATAAAACGTAAAAAAGATAGTGTTTCTTTCACCAATAAATCCTAGAAGTTGCGTAAAAGCAAGATATTATCATTCACATAATAATCTACCCAATCTAGCAACATAAACTTTGACTTAATTTGAACCTTGAAATCATTTACTTCATGGTATGAGTGTAAACTTGCATAGTCCAAAACTACTTTAATTACAACCAAATGTGGTACTTTTTTTGTTTGCAAATTTCCTTTTAAAACTAAACTTTTGGAATTATGGGCGCGCTAACAAAAATTTGTAAGAAGAAAAAAGAATGAATTAAAAAAGAGAATGAAAAGTGAACAAACGACAACCATGGAATAAAATAAATGCTTTATCATTGCGCCCACATTCCAATTGTCCCTTCAATATTATTCAATTCACTTTCCATCATAGATATCATCTAGGCGTCCTAGACAACGATAAATTGACAGAGAAGAGTAAAAATACTACTTTTGACACTTCTTACAAATCCTAACTGAAAATCAATAAATTCTATAGATATACAACATTACTCTTCATGGAAGAAACTTGTTACAGATTAAATAACTTAGATCTTTAACAAAAAAAAAAAAAGGAAGA